TCGAATGAGTTTTCGTCACATGACATCGTTTTGCATACTAAATGAGACGTAAAGGCGTTTCTGGTTCCGCATTTTTTTTAACAAACCGACCACTGGAACGATACACCAAAAATCTAAATTTAAGGCGATAAAATTGTGCGATTTCAAAATGGATTTAATAAAGTGACAATTGAACTTCGGGTCGTGCAATTTTGGTCTGAAATCATACTTGTGATTTCAAATCGAACGAGCGCGCATGCGCTCGTTCGATTTTGAAATCACGCGTATGATTTCAGACCAAATTGCACTCCACTCAGTTCAATTACCATTATAAATCGTGAGATATGTATGACCCAAATATTCGAACAGGTTACGTACTGGAATCTGAAAAGTTTTTCATTATAATGCCTGCAAGGTCCACGCCACAAATGAGAGAGTTCATTCCCTGATATCAGCATAGGTTTTGGCATCTGTTAATTTTCTTCCCGGATTCTAAACTCTATTATTTGCACACAACTAAAGCATTTTTTTTTTTTCAACGACTCACCTTGAAAATTGACCTGGACTGTATAAAAATGTTAGCATTTCGCAGCACTTGTGTGCCATCTTGCAGTAACTTGCCATAAGTGTCCCGTTCAAGAAATGAATCCAACCCATCAGTGTTCGCAGCCAAATTGAGTGTGTATAGGTTTTATGAAAAAATGTCCACGATTTATATTATCAGCTACAGGGACGCAGCAAACTTTTTACCAACTTCCTGACAATTCTGTCACAGTGTATTCTTAAGTGCATTTAATGTGACAGTCTATAATGCGAAAACTCGAAAGTATGTGGGAAACAGAGAAACAACAGTAGACTTCGATCAAGAGGCGGCTTCCATCGCAGTTACAGATATACATTGCAATGCATAATCATCTTGAATTTAAAGAGACAGAAAAATTCAGACAATCAATCCAGCTGATTATTTTAAAAATAGAAATATTTTGAATAATCTCGTGGAAGGCGGTAGATATATATCATGAAAAAACACATAAATGTTGCTAGTCAGAGTTTTTTTCAGGTCTTCCCTACTTTCGTTGGTTCGTTCTTGTCCGGAAAAATTTAGCGGCATCGAAATGTCTTGGAAAGGGTTAGTAGGGAGCTTGAAAATGAAAAACGTTTATATGTAATTTACCGTGCGCTTTGATCTCGCGTTCGACGCTCGTGTATTTCGCTTCGCGCTCTGTGTCGCTAAGTGCAGGTACTGTTGCCTAAAGGTAAGCGCCCTATACTCCGGATCAAGCGGTCTTGGTGCGAGCCCTGGCCGGGTACAATTGCGTTGTGTTCTTAGGCTAGACACTACCGTCACAGTGCCTCTCTCTACCCAGGTGTATAAATGGGTACTGGCAAACTTAATGCTGAGGATAACCCTGCGATGGATTAGCATCCTATCCAGGGAGGAGTAGAAATACTCTAGTCTCTTCATTCTACCTAAACCAGGACAAGCTCCGGTTGTATAGGCCACTTGACCCGACGCAGACTAAATACATGCACTTTAAAGCCACTTGATGCCGAAAGGAAGCTAGGAAGCTTAGGAAGCTTTATTGTCTTCGTTTAGACAAACGTCGGGACAGTTTTTGAAAAGGACTAGTTCCCCAAGAAAGTATTTTGGTATCTTTTTCTAACTTAACGTGTTTACCATATTTAAGTTCCTTTTTCTGTTTTCATTTTTTTTTACATAGGAACGCCAGGATTTCGATGGCGATTTAGTAAAAGATGATATATCAGAATGAGAAAATACTTGCCTTACCCCTTACCCCAGGATTTACTTAAGTTGGCAAGCTATTGCGACAGTCACAGGCAAATCACAACTTCAAATTAAGGCTGACTTAATTTCAATGTAAGGTAAATACCCGTCTTCTGAAAGCTCCATTTTACAACACACTAACTTGCTCTTGAGACTTCTAATGACGTTGTTAAAAGATTGTATTCCTTCTTTAAAAAAATAATTACAAGACAATTAGGAACAACAATGAGAAGTGCAAACATGTAAAAAATCCCTGCTGTACGTTTTACGCCAGTGATGAAGTAACGCCAAACTCAATTTAGTTCCACAGTTTATTTCCCACAGTTTAAATAGCTTACAAATAGTATCAAAAGCCCCTGTTTCAAAATTTCGTCTCCCACATTTTCCTATAAGATCTACCTTTCCTGATCAGTCTTTATGCTGCTCAAGCATGGAATGAGATAAAATGAATAAAACTTTGTCTCAGTGCGGTCCACATCTCATGTCGCCTTTCAGATCATCAAAGTTGATGTGACCCCATCCACCAGAACTGACATCAACCAGTTTGACGCGGGCGCGTTGACCAACAAAAGCTCCGACATCCCAGGCTTTACGAGTCATTGTCTCACTGCATTGACCGGTAGCTTGTTTGACAACCTGAAAAAGCACAGTCTCATTATGATTTGCGAGGTGAGTCAGATGAAAACAGTACTTTTTAAAATCTAAAGAAACCCGCCGTGCACAAATCTCGCAACCACAGCTGTATAAGGACCTGGCCAGGACAATCTGTCCGATCAATATTTTCAAAGAGCTGATCTTCAAGGTGACTTCCGTTACAACGGCCAATTTTAGATCATCAGATTTTAATCATATCTAGAGAACTCTACAATAACATTTTTTTAAAGAAAGATGTGTACATAGTTTAATAGCAGAATTATAATTCTGCAATTCTGCTATTAAACTATAAACACATCGCCCGTTAGTTAATTTATCCACTTTCAGTTTGTAAAACCTAATGTTATCAGAATTTTAGATGGACTTTATTTACTTTTAGAAAACAGCCTCAAGAATATACGCGCGCTGATAAGTTAAAAATCGTGTTTCTATTAAACTATTAGATTATGAGCTCGAGATTTCTATAGCGTGATAGTTGACTCTGGCTGCGCCCTCGTCAACTATCACGCATAGAAATCGAGAGCGAATAATCTAATTATTTTAGTATAAATCAACTAGTCGTTCAAAACTTTATCTAAATAATCTTCACAGACACTCCGAAAACGCCAAAAAGCGGCCATCATTTTGTTAACAAGGGCACACTAGTACGCTACTCATTATCTATCACAGAATAGATAGTGAGTAGTGCAGCCAATCAGAGAATGGCATTCGTGATAGAACGGTAGTAGATTTAAACTAAAATTCGATAGAAACTCAGAACTAGCACGAGCTATTGACGTAATGATGGGGGAGAGGGAGAGAGGGAGAGAGCGTCTCCACCTTCGCCGCCAACCTCAAACACCTGCAATTTCGGCACACATCTAAATGAAGCACTACGTGATCGCTTGGTCTGTGGACTGTGACCCAGAAAAAGTTTTTAACCGAGGAACACAACTCCGACAAAGCTCTCAAAAAGGTGCTCGGCGCCGAGGCCGCCGAAAAAGACGTCGCTGCATTCTCTCAAGAAGACGCCACTCCGGTACACAAGCTCGATTCTGAGGGCCGTCAGACCTATCTTCCGCGCAGATCGCGCAGATCACGCAGATCAGGCAAGGGCCGAGGCAAAAAGCCACATAACCAGAATCAAAATAACAGCACTCTGAATGCCTTAGTTGCGAAAAAACAGGCCACCCGCGTTCCCAGTGCAAATATAGGAACTATACATGCCATACCTGTGGACGATCGGGTCACATCACAGATGCATGCAAGTCTAAATCTCAGAAGATCCACAAGGTAGATGAGCTAGCCAGAGGCATCACAACTCGACCCCCTTCAGATCCATTTTCTCTCTCAATCTTCAACATCAATACAGAGAACAATGGCATCGAAGTACCCGTTGAACTGAACGGAATCCATCTCCTAATAGAATTGGACACAGGCGCTGGAGTTTCAATTATCTCCCAGGAGACTCACAACAAGCATTTCCAGGAGACTCCACTCCAACGCTCCAATAGCCACCTGCACACCTACACAGGGCACCCGGTCCATACGTTGAACATTGAGTTGGGGTTTGACCGTAACACCATAATCTCCACATGACCGTGTGGTGCCATCATCCTTCCGGACATTGGGGGTTGCCCATTCACTGAATTCGACCTTTTCCACAACTCAAGCAACTTAAGGCATGGCTAGTTCCTTGGAAAGACCCCACGGGAAGTTTAAACCTCTTTTCTATAGAAATAACGCTGCTTTTTGCCCTAAGAAGACCAAAAGTACATACCAATAGGAATTTGGCGTCCTTGAATTGCTTAAGATATTTTATGGTGGTCACGTGTCTAATGACGTCATAATCCAGGAAATAGTAAAACGTTAAATGGGATAGGGAAAGATTAACTTAGGCGAAGGATAAGATATCAGTTATTCTTTGCCTTAATCAAAGAAACTATCAGTGTCCGGAATCTAATTTGGTATTCTCTTGATAAGATATTAAGAGACAAAATATATCCGTGACCTGTTTTACTTTTTAACCCTTAAACGATACATCACTGGCAACCATTCCAGCCTGAACCATATAAGGGACATCAAAACAATTACCATAAGGTTTCAAGTTATATCCGTTCTATTGCATCTCGCTACCCCATTTTCAATTTTCTTTTAATCTTATCAAACATTGATAAAAGGTCACGTGACCCAACTAATCAACACGTAAAACCAAAACTGAGTTAAGTTCGATCTGTTTTATATTGTTGCCAAGTTTGACGGTGTTTTGGTAAATCGTTCAAAAGTTATGGCTGGTTTCAGATTTTATGCAGATTAGGGTGCGAGCCATGCCTTAACATGCTTGAGAATATCTTCGGATTCGAGTCGGTGATACTCGGCATCTACTGCTTGCTGGAGAGCGTAAGGTACTGGGCGTACCTTGCAGAACTTTGGTTGAGCATCAGGCTTCATCTCCAATTTAGCTGTGATTTCCTCAATAGCACCGAGGCTAGGCTTGAAGACATTAGAGTGACACTGGACTGCGGTGGGCAATTGTGTCTTGACATCTTGTGGGAGGCCTGGGTCTGAGACACGGATACTACATAATGCAAATGAGCCATGTTTTAAGCTCTCTCGAGGGACAAAGTTTAAAACATTCCGTAAGCTTGTTGTTTACTTACATTGATATATTGTGACGCCGGGCCCAGCCCGGTTTGATAAGAACTGTTTGCAAGTACAGTACATTGCTTCTTATCACGGATATCATGCATATTCATCTTCGTCCGGCTTCGTTAGAGATTGCTGTAGCTTTACTTCGAGAACGTTATACGTTTGTATACAGACGTTCATAAGTTTCCTGAATCAATTTGATCAAACTTTAGTCTCTCGAGCTCGATGTTTAGGTTTTGTACCTTCTTTGTTCGCTCTGACACCACATGAATCAAATGTAGCTCCTTACGCATAAGTCTGTTGACTGATTTGCGCGTTGTACATGCCATTGAGACTCCAGCGGCTTTGTTCAGGCAAGACCATGTTTTAATCCTCCATGTGGATCTCATCAGTTGCCGGTATTTTCTGTACGTCCGTGCTTGCTATCGCAACCCGTAGATAGGTGAACTTGTTGTTAGATCGATATTCTGCGGGTTGACTTCTTGTGGCTCTACGGTACCTTGGAGGCGGATCGAAAATGCCAAGTTTCAAAAACCCACGCAGTATTTGGAGAAAACGATCGATTAACCAATTAAAAAGAATGTAGATTAGCATGACAACCAATCATGGTACGTTCCAAACATTCGAGAAACACTACCCAGAGCGAGAAACACAATTAACGAAGCCGCTACACAGGCGTCTCTCTCTCCGATATTTTAAGGGGAGGGGGCGGCTGTACACAGACTACAATGCTTACCTTGTTGCCGATAACCAATTCGGCGCGAACCAATTTTATATCACAGCCTCCACCAATCAGAAATGAGATTTGTTTTCCCGTGATGGTGAAGTATGGGGAAGTAAGAGTTCCTTGGGGTCCGTCTCCTTGAACGTTACCAGCGGTAGCTGCTTTGGAGGATCGGTTCTCGGCTCCTCCAATCCACCAGTCCCCTTGTTGACTCGCAGGTTGTCCTCTGTTCCGAGCTGTAGGGTTGTCACCATAGGTCGGCTGGTTGTTAAACGCAGTTCCAGTCTTCTGCCAGTCATCAATTCCACGTTCAAAGTCGAACTTGCATGCTTTAGAAAGGAAAATAAGTAGTTAAGTAAATACATAAATGCTAAATATATAAATAAATGATAAACAAATAAATGAATTAATTAATAACATGACCTATTAATTAGAAAATAAACTCTGAGTATCTTAATGTAGTGTTTTGGTTTCGTCACAGCTCACTGCGTTTCAGGATTTCAGTTTCCAATTAATAGTGGTCGTAAGTTGTTTTGTATTTCCAATGTCATAAAAGTTGGGTTTTTAGAGCTGATTTTGGGATGGAACTCTGGATTAGGCATAACAAAGAATCCGATAACACCATTTGATGGCAACTTTAAATAATGAATGCTGGACTGAACGATCGGTGTACGTTCAACTAGAGAACAATAAAACTAATATAATAGAACTTCTTGAAAACAACGCAAACTTAGGAGATACGTCGAAACTAGTGAACTGTCAGTTGTTTTACACATTTTTTTCATAAGAATATTGTTTTTACAGCTGAAGCTGAATAGTCTTAACATTTTTCTGCCGATTTTAGGATGAAAATATTCTTGTGAATATTCTTAGATAATAGCGTATGGCGACATTTTTTTAACAATCTATTTGGTGTCTGGATGGTGTTAAAGTAATTTTGGAGCCAGCCTGCAGGTGTTATATAATATTAAAGCCTGATGTGACAAACATAACTTCTTGTAGAAATGTTATTAACATCGAACGTACGGCTAGCGTTGTTTTTGCTGCTTTTTGGCTAGTTTTGCCGTTTAGAGAAGGTAGAATTTTATGCGGTTCTTAAAATTTTCTTTAAATTTCGCCAATTTCAGCCTAGATATTTTTATAAAACATATTCTTATATATATATAAAAAAAGAGTGTACCGGCTAACACGCTTCTAATTAAAAAAAAAATTGGAGCATAAGACCACACAAAGTGAAAAAAGTCAAACTGCTTGGACAAGTATAATGCCGGATATCTTAATAATTGCTCAAGAAACGATTATCATTGTTAGTACTCACGCTAAATTGAATTTGGAGACAGGAAACACCTGGTTTAAATTTCTCCAGGGCATCCATCCTTCCCTCCAATGATTCCAGCTTCTTTTGCAGCTGACTTAAAGCCGTTTTTGCATTGCGTTCCGAAAAACCGTATGATAACTTATTAATAATATAAACATGAAAAAATTCGCGTGCAGGAAGTTCCGGAAGATCTTTCTTGAAACCATTTTTTCTCAGTCGAGAAAACTTTTTTCAAAGTTTCCGCACAAAATTTTCATCATCATTGTATGTGATATCATTGGCTTAGAAAATTTCCTTTTGTCTTTCAGCCAATCATTACTCAGAATTACGATGTGCAATTTGCACAGATGTTACTGTTGTAATCGGCTGACGGTAACAATCTTAAAATAACGAAACAAACAACGAAGTAGCTGAAACGGTTCCAACTTGTATGTTTATTCTCCTCGCGATGACGGTATGCGAATATATACTTACAACAAGATCTCGATAATACGACAGAACAAAACAAAAGGCTCAACAGTACAAAATCTCGTATTACATGTCAATTGTTAACTCGGGTAACACAACATGTCATGGTCACGCCACTATTAGTCTCTTAACATTTTCCCCTCCTGAATTGAAAAGCGAAACTTACAATTCGTCTATACAACTAAACTTAAGTATAAGTCACTGTTTAACATTCGCATGTCTCAATCAGGATTGGGAATTCCAACGGGGAAATTCTATTTACAGATCGCTTGAGAACTTTGTCCCCAACTCGAACATCAACAACTCTCACGAGCTGGTCACTGCCCGGATACGTTCGTTCAATACGGCCAACTTTCCACTCTCTTCTAGCAGCACACAGATCGATGACCATAACGACATCACCAATTTTAAGGTTCTCCGTAGGAAAGAACCACTTCTGACGGGAGCCGATGTGGGGTAGTATTCTTTCATCCAACGTTCCCACACATGTCGAGTTAATTCTTGCACACGCCTCCAGCGTTTCCGTGGATTAAATGCTGTACTGTCCACACTTTCGGGAATGAAGTCGCCACCCATTTGACCAATTAGGAAGTTATTTGGTGTGAGTACTGGCTCATCATTCGGATCATCACTCAATGTGGTTAGCAGTCTTGAGTTCATTAGACTTTCGACCCCAATGAATGTTGTCTGCAGCTCTCCGTCGTTGATATCTGCATCTTTCAGGACGGCATAAATTGCTCGCTTTGACGATTTGATCATCCAAAATGGTGAGCGGCCGGAGGATTCCAATACCAAGTGACACCGTGATTAGATGTCATACGCTGGAGCTGATCGTGCTCTAGTTGACTGACTAAGTCCTTNTGATAAGTTAAAAATCGTGTTTCTATTAAACTATTAGATTATGAGCTCGAGATTTCTATAGCGTGATAGTTGACTCTGGCTGCGCCCTCGTCAACTATCACGCATAGAAATCGAGAGCGAATAATCTAATTATTTTAGTATAAATCAACTAGTCGTTCAAAACTTTATCTAAATAATCTTCACAGACACTCCGAAAACGCCAAAAAGCGGCCATCATTTTGTTAACAAGGGCACACTAGTACGCTACTCATTATCTATCACAGAATAGATAGTGAGTAGTGCAGCCAATCAGAGAATGGCATTCGTGATAGAACGGTAGTAGATTTAAACTAAAATTCGATAGAAACTCAGAACTAGCACGAGCTATTGACGTAATGATGGGGGAGAGGGAGAGAGGGAGAGAGCGTCTCCACCTTCGCCGCCAACCTCAAACACCTGCAATTTCGGCACACATCTAAATGAAGCACTACGTGATCGCTTGGTCTGTGGACTGTGACCCAGAAAAAGTTTTTAACCGAGGAACACAACTCCGACAAAGCTCTCAAAAAGGTGCTCGGCGCCGAGGCCGCCGAAAAAGACGTCGCTGCATTCTCTCAAGAAGACGCCACTCCGGTACACAAGCTCGATTCTGAGGGCCGTCAGACCTATCTTCCGCGCAGATCGCGCAGATCACGCAGATCAGGCAAGGGCCGAGGCAAAAAGCCACATAACCAGAATCAAAATAACAGCACTCTGAATGCCTTAGTTGCGAAAAAACAGGCCACCCGCGTTCCCAGTGCAAATATAGGAACTATACATGCCATACCTGTGGACGATCGGGTCACATCACAGATGCATGCAAGTCTAAATCTCAGAAGATCCACAAGGTAGATGAGCTAGCCAGAGGCATCACAACTCGACCCCCTTCAGATCCATTTTCTCTCTCAATCTTCAACATCAATACAGAGAACAATGGCATCGAAGTACCCGTTGAACTGAACGGAATCCATCTCCTAATAGAATTGGACACAGGCGCTGGAGTTTCAATTATCTCCCAGGAGACTCACAACAAGCATTTCCAGGAGACTCCACTCCAACGCTCCAATAGCCACCTGCACACCTACACAGGGCACCCGGTCCATACGTTGAACATTGAGTTGGGGTTTGACCGTAACACCATAATCTCCACATGACCGTGTGGTGCCATCATCCTTCCGGACATTGGGGGTTGCCCATTCACTGAATTCGACCTTTTCCACAACTCAAGCAACTTAAGGCATGGCTAGTTCCTTGGAAAGACCCCACGGGAAGTTTAAACCTCTTTTCTATAGAAATAACGCTGCTTTTTGCCCTAAGAAGACCAAAAGTACATACCAATAGGAATTTGGCGTCCTTGAATTGCTTAAGATATTTTATGGTGGTCACGTGTCTAATGACGTCATAATCCAGGAAATAGTAAAACGTTAAATGGGATAGGGAAAGATTAACTTAGGCGAAGGATAAGATATCAGTTATTCTTTGCCTTAATCAAAGAAACTATCAGTGTCCGGAATCTAATTTGGTATTCTCTTGATAAGATATTAAGAGACAAAATATATCCGTGACCTGTTTTACTTTTTAACCCTTAAACGATACATCACTGGCAACCATTCCAGCCTGAACCATATAAGGGACATCAAAACAATTACCATAAGGTTTCAAGTTATATCCGTTCTATTGCATCTCGCTACCCCATTTTCAATTTTCTTTTAATCTTATCAAACATTGATAAAAGGTCACGTGACCCAACTAATCAACACGTAAAACCAAAACTGAGTTAAGTTCGATCTGTTTTATATTGTTGCCAAGTTTGACGGTGTTTTGGTAAATCGTTCAAAAGTTATGGCTGGTTTCAGATTTTATGCAGATTAGGGTGCGAGCCATGCCTTAACATGCTTGAGAATATCTTCGGATTCGAGTCGGTGATACTCGGCATCTACTGCTTGCTGGAGAGCGTAAGGTACTGGGCGTACCTTGCAGAACTTTGGTTGAGCATCAGGCTTCATCTCCAATTTAGCTGTGATTTCCTCAATAGCACCGAGGCTAGGCTTGAAGACATTAGAGTGACACTGGACTGCGGTGGGCAATTGTGTCTTGACATCTTGTGGGAGGCCTGGGTCTGAGACACGGATACTACATAATGCAAATGAGCCATGTTTTAAGCTCTCTCGAGGGACAAAGTTTAAAACATTCCGTAAGCTTGTTGTTTACTTACATTGATATATTGTGACGCCGGGCCCAGCCCGGTTTGATAAGAACTGTTTGCAAGTACAGTACATTGCTTCTTATCACGGATATCATGCATATTCATCTTCGTCCGGCTTCGTTAGAGATTGCTGTAGCTTTACTTCGAGAACGTTATACGTTTGTATACAGACGTTCATAAGTTTCCTGAATCAATTTGATCAAACTTTAGTCTCTCGAGCTCGATGTTTAGGTTTTGTACCTTCTTTGTTCGCTCTGACACCACATGAATCAAATGTAGCTCCTTACGCATAAGTCTGTTGACTGATTTGCGCGTTGTACATGCCATTGAGACTCCAGCGGCTTTGTTCAGGCAAGACCATGTTTTAATCCTCCATGTGGATCTCATCAGTTGCCGGTATTTTCTGTACGTCCGTGCTTGCTATCGCAACCCGTAGATAGGTGAACTTGTTGTTAGATCGATATTCTGCGGGTTGACTTCTTGTGGCTCTACGGTACCTTGGAGGCGGATCGAAAATGCCAAGTTTCAAAAACCCACGCAGTATTTGGAGAAAACGATCGATTAACCAATTAAAAAGAATGTAGATTAGCATGACAACCAATCATGGTACGTTCCAAACATTCGAGAAACACTACCCAGAGCGAGAAACACAATTAACGAAGCCGCTACACAGGCGTCTCTCTCTCCGATATTTTAAGGGGAGGGGGCGGCTGTACACAGACTACAATGCTTACCTTGTTGCCGATAACCAATTCGGCGCGAACCAATTTTATATCACAGCCTCCACCAATCAGAAATGAGATTTGTTTTCCCGTGATGGTGAAGTATGGGGAAGTAAGAGTTCCTTGGGGTCCGTCTCCTTGAACGTTACCAGCGGTAGCTGCTTTGGAGGATCGGTTCTCGGCTCCTCCAATCCACCAGTCCCCTTGTTGACTCGCAGGTTGTCCTCTGTTCCGAGCTGTAGGGTTGTCACCATAGGTCGGCTGGTTGTTAAACGCAGTTCCAGTCTTCTGCCAGTCATCAATTCCACGTTCAAAGTCGAACTTGCATGCTTTAGAAAGGAAAATAAGTAGTTAAGTAAATACATAAATGCTAAATATATAAATAAATGATAAACAAATAAATGAATTAATTAATAACATGACCTATTAATTAGAAAATAAACTCTGAGTATCTTAATGTAGTGTTTTGGTTTCGTCACAGCTCACTGCGTTTCAGGATTTCAGTTTCCAATTAATAGTGGTCGTAAGTTGTTTTGTATTTCCAATGTCATAAAAGTTGGGTTTTTAGAGCTGATTTTGGGATGGAACTCTGGATTAGGCATAACAAAGAATCCGATAACACCATTTGATGGCAACTTTAAATAATGAATGCTGGACTGAACGATCGGTGTACGTTCAACTAGAGAACAATAAAACTAATATAATAGAACTTCTTGAAAACAACGCAAACTTAGGAGATACGTCGAAACTAGTGAACTGTCAGTTGTTTTACACATTTTTTTCATAAGAATATTGTTTTTACAGCTGAAGCTGAATAGTCTTAACATTTTTCTGCCGATTTTAGGATGAAAATATTCTTGTGAATATTCTTAGATAATAGCGTATGGCGACATTTTTTTAACAATCTATTTGGTGTCTGGATGGTGTTAAAGTAATTTTGGAGCCAGCCTGCAGGTGTTATATAATATTAAAGCCTGATGTGACAAACATAACTTCTTGTAGAAATGTTATTAACATCGAACGTACGGCTAGCGTTGTTTTTGCTGCTTTTTGGCTAGTTTTGCCGTTTAGAGAAGGTAGAATTTTATGCGGTTCTTAAAATTTTCTTTAAATTTCGCCAATTTCAGCCTAGATATTTTTATAAAACATATTCTTATATATATATAAAAAAAGAGTGTACCGGCTAACACGCTTCTAATTAAAAAAAAAATTGGAGCATAAGACCACACAAAGTGAAAAAAGTCAAACTGCTTGGACAAGTATAATGCCGGATATCTTAATAATTGCTCAAGAAACGATTATCATTGTTAGTACTCACGCTAAATTGAATTTGGAGACAGGAAACACCTGGTTTAAATTTCTCCAGGGCATCCATCCTTCCCTCCAATGATTCCAGCTTCTTTTGCAGCTGACTTAAAGCCGTTTTTGCATTGCGTTCCGAAAAACCGTATGATAACTTATTAATAATATAAACATGAAAAAATTCGCGTGCAGGAAGTTCCGGAAGATCTTTCTTGAGACCATTTTTTCTCAGTCGAGAAAACTTTTTTCAAAGTTTCCGCACAAAATTTTCATCATCATTGTATGTGATATCATTGGCTTAGAAAATTTCCTTTTGTCTTTCAGCCAATCATTACTCAGAATTACGATGTGCAATTTGCACAGATGTTACTGTTGTAATCGGCTGACGGTAACAATCTTAAAATAACGAAACAAACAACGAAGTAGCTGAAACGGTTCCAACTTGTATGTTTATTCTCCTCGCGATGACGGTATGCGAATATATACTTACAACAAGATCTCGATAATACGACAGAACAAAACAAAAGGCTCAACAGTACAAAATCTCGTATTACATGTCAATTGTTAACTCGGGTAACACAACATGTCATGGTCACGCCACTATTAGTCTCTTAACATTTTCCCCTCCTGAATTGAAAAGCGAAACTTACAATTCGTCTATACAACTAAACTTAAGTATAAGTCACTGTTTAACATTCGCATGTCTCAATCAGGATTGGGAATTCCAACGGGGAAATTCTATTTACAGATCGCTTGAGAACTTTGTCCCCAACTCGAACATCAACAACTCTCACGAGCTGGTCACTGCCCGGATACGTTCGTTCAATACGGCCAACTTTCCACTCTCTTCTAGCAGCACACAGATCGATGACCATAACGACATCACCAATTTTAAGGTTCTCCGTAGGAAAGAACCACTTCTGACGGGAGCCGATGTGGGGTAGTATTCTTTCATCCAACGTTCCCACACATGTCGAGTTAATTCTTGCACACGCCTCCAGCGTTTCCGTGGATTAAATGCTGTACTGTCCACACTTTCGGGAATGAAGTCGCCACCCATTTGACCAATTAGGAAGTTATTTGGTGTGAGTACTGGCTCATCATTCGGATCATCACTCAATGTGGTTAGCAGTCTTGAGTTCATTAGACTTTCGACCCCAATGAATGTTGTCTGCAGCTCTCCGTCGTTGATATCTGCATCTTTCAGGACGGCATAAATTGCTCGCTTTGACGATTTGATCATCCAAAATGGTGAGCGGCCGGAGGATTCCAATACCAAGTGACACCGTGATTAGATGTCATACGCTGGAGCTGATCGTGATCTAGTTGACTGACTAAGTCCTTTATCTCTTTCTCAGCACCCACGAAATTCGTTCCATTGTCACTCAGCATTTTCGTCGGTGAACCTCTCCTTGCCGCCACTCGCACGAAAGCGTTGAGAAACACCCCAGTATCCAATGAAGTCGCCATCTCTAAATGGCAGCAGTGTGTTTGCAAACACAAAAACAAACACAGGTAACGTTTGGCACGAGATCGTCCACGCCCTTGAACGGCAAGGTACGGTCCTCCAAAGTCAATTGCACAATTAGCGAACGGTTTTGTTCTCATCTGGAGACGGATCTATGGCAATGGAACCATTTGCTGCTGGACTGGCTGGACTTCAAAACGCCTTGCACATTCACAGCATTCTCTGTTTACTCGTTTGACCTCCTCACGGACATGGATAACTAGGTACTTCTCCCGCAAATGGTTTATGGTGTAGTTCACACCCATCTGATGGCCTTCACTTTCGTGATGGTACTTCACGACTAGTCGGGTGACATGATTCCTCTTTGGCAAAATAATAGGGAATTTGACATCATCTGGGAGATCATGGAGTGCCGCAGCCTCGTGTTCGAACGTAGAATCCTGTTGATAAGGATTGGAGTGCAAGGGAGCAGGGTGGATTTCAGCGGAAGAGGGTTGTTTTTTGCCAGTGCCTCGATTTCTTCACTGTATGCTTCAGTTTGGGCTTCTCTGATGATTCCTGTTTCGGCGGTCATGAGCTCTAGTGGAGTTAGCTCTCCAAGTACTCTCTGATTTTCAGGCCTACGGCAGTTGCTGACGAATCGTTGTACCCATCTTCTGACCCGCACCAATGATAGTCCGATCTCCAACTGTCCTTTGGGTTTCACTTTATACCACTTGGAGTATCTGGAGGGTTCTAAACGCCACTCTACTTCTTCTACTTCGGGTTCACTGGCCAACCGCTGAATGGCATTGTAGCTTGTTGAGCTCTCTTGATTTGCGTTCGCATAACGCTTCACGTGACGGTTTGTCAAACTTGCATTCAGGCCACTCTGCCTCGGGATTGCACAGGAAATTAGGCCCGTTCCACCACTTTGAACTGTCGGTTAGCTCTTGCGCTGTCATTCCTCTGGTTCCAAGATCTGCGGGATTCAAATCTGTTGTTACGTAACGCCATTGGTTAGGGTTAGATTTTTCGTGAATCTCGCCAACGCGGTGTGCAACGAAGGGTTTATTTTCGCGGCTCTGTCCCCTAATCCAATAGCAGGCATTCAGGCTGTCCACCCAGTACGTGACATTGCTGGACGAGATGTCGAGTGTTGAACAGACTTGACTTGCCAATCGTAGACCGATGAGAGCGCCCACAGTCTTTAACGGAGCCAAACGGGTCATGAATGCGATAAGACGAGTAGTAACACTTCCATCCTCGAATTTGTGTCTGCTGTAGACGGCTGCGGCATGTGCTTTCTCGGACGCGTCGGAGAAGGTGTGCAGAGTGATAGAGCTTTCTTTCATACTTGTGTCTTTTAAACACCGAGGAATCTTGATTTCTTCAAGGAGGTGCAAATCGCTGAACCAGGTCTTCCATTGTTCTCTTTGCTCAGACGGGAGGACTTCATCCCACTCCAATGCGTCCACCCACGCTTGCTGCATGAACAGTTTTGCTTTAACCACGAACGGAGAGAGAAATCCGAGCGGATCAAAAAACGTTGCTGTCTTATTTAGGACGTTCCGATTAGTGAATTCAAAGTCCTTCGAAGGGGGTGAATAATGAAACAGGAACTGGTCCTCTCGTGCGGTCCAGGACACACCAAGCGTTTTCGTTACGGGCAAGAAGTTTTCCTCTAGATCAACTTCAGAAGCACGGTCATCTGCGGGAACATCTGCTAACACTTCTGTGAGATTCGAAACCCACTTTCTCACGTGGAATCCAGCTTTATCGCCCATCTCTGTCAACTGGCGTCTTGTTTCTATGGCTTTCTTAATGGAATCCACGGACGGCATGAGATCATCCAAGTAACAATTATTCTTTACTGCACTCGCAGCCAGGGGGTAGGAGTCTTGGTGGATTTCTGCATGCTTCGGCCTTTCATCTCTCCACGGAACGGCTACTTCGTAATGTTGGCCATTAAACTTCAAAGACTTGTTGACTTTATCCTATGCCAACTTTTCTTCCGGTGTCAGCTGCGGACTGGTTGGGATAATTCCAACGCTTTCCAGATCCCAGAAACGTTTCAGCAAGTAGTTTAGCTCTAAGGTGTCCTTATCTGGTAAAGTGGGCTCTTTTCTCTCGATTTGCGGACGAAATCTGTGATGGAAGTTAGTGTAGTGACTCTCCTTTGTGTCCAGGTTCTGAATCTTTCCAATGGCAGTCCATCCTAGGGGGCAGTCTCGCGCAGGGTTCATTCGGGCCTCCAGTCACTTCGTTCATCGAATACATCAGTTCGTAATGGTTTGCTCCAAGAAGTACGTCGATTCGATTTCCTTTTGCGAGCCTTGGGAACGGAATTTCGGTTAAATGGTTCCATCTGTCTTGAATCTTGACCCAGTTAACAGCTTTCAAACCACCGCAGACTTTGTTTGAAGTCTTGGCGGTTATCTTCGTGTCTACCCAGCCGTCGGTACTCTCAAGGCCAATCTCAAATGAGCTTGACATTAAGCGGAGGGTTTGGTCATTTGCTACCTTGACTGTGATAGGTTCTTTCTCGCCTGTTAGTCCGAGCTCGTTAACGACATCTTCATTCACATATGTCGTGTCGCTTCCTTCATGTAACAGACAGTTCACAATAATTCTCCTGTTTCCATTCTTTAAAACGATCGGTACTGTTCGTAACGCCACTTCTGGTTGTTCTTCTTGATTTTCAAACGTTTCCATTGTAACGGATTGCCTGGTACCATTCCCCTCCATAGTTTCTTTCAGTCTCTCATTTGAGTTGATCGTTGACTGAAGGGGCGTGGTCAAAGTTTGAATGTATGGTTCTGCTACTGGTCGCAGAAGAAATTGAGCAGGTGGCGCCCTATCATAGTGATGGAGATTTTGATGAGTTCCTGTACATCCGTTAACGCCGCATTGCTTGCTTCTTGGGCAGGACTTACCATGATGGTTATCCGCCAAACATCGGAAGCACAGACCAAATTGTTTAACAGTTCGCCATCTTTCGTCAGTGGAAAGTTTTTGAAATGCTTCACACTTCAACAGTGAGTGGTTCCCAGTACATACACTTTTGATTGCCTCTTCCGTTCTTGTCGCTGAAATAGCTTCTAGGAAATCTTCTAGAAGGACGATGCTTACTATTCCGTAATTGTTCATTGCGATCTTGGTTTGAAATTCCGTTCTTGATCTCGGTGGCCTGTACCTGATATGTAGTTTCTTCTGAAACACAGTCTTTCAATGTCTCTAGGGAATCTCGATGCTTGTTTTCGTCTAACCACCGGTAATATTGGGCTAGTAAACGCTCAGGAATCTTCTCAGGGATCATGGTGTGCAGTGCCCCTCCTTCTACGTCTGATTTTCGGCCATTTTCTTTCAACGTAATTACTGCACGTTCCAAGACATCGGTGAAAGTTTTCAGTTCGTTGAAAGTCCATCTTATTTCCTGAAAAAATTGGAAGTCGGATTCTTTCCAATTGCCCATGCATTTCACTGTTATTAGCGATGGAACCGGCGTCAGAAACATTAATAGGACGGTGTGATTTCGGCAGTTCCGGTGATGGTGTTTCAACTGCATGCACGTGGTCGGGTGATTTCTGAGGTACCTTGTTTTCTTGCTGTTGCTGAGGGTTTCCAATTGATTTATTCTGTTGCGAGGGAAGGGGATGATATTCCTCGGTAAATTCCTGTTCTAGAATCAAATGCTCATCCACTTCGTTTTCCAATTCCTGGCGTCGTTTATTTATTTCTTCGTTTACCGCTTGAAGCTCCTTTTCCTGGCGTTCTAATTCTTCACGATTCTGTTCGATTTCCCATTCAAGCCGATCCCGCCGTAAACGCGCTTCCATTTCTGCCTTTTCTTTTTCTTTTCTTCTCTGCGAAGCTTCACTATCTGCGACGGAATTTGTGCGTGATTTGACTTTAGTGAGTTAAGCCAACAGTGAGCGAGCAGGCATGGTTTCACGATCGATTTGTTCAACCAGATCGTCCGCTTCATCGCTAACTTTCTCCGCCATACTTGTATCATTCTTTTGGTGATAGGACTTTTCCAAACGGGACATTACCATCAGGGTCTCTTCTTGCTGTTCCTGAATTTTTCCTAACAGCTCCTTGATTTCGTTTTGCGGATTATCTTCGCTCAGGACGCTGGCCAACTTGTTTAAGAGACGCGTCATTTGCGATTTCGCCATTCCCTTTTCTTGTTTACAATCCCGAAGCCTGCATTCGTGATCCTCTGTCTCGGTCGCTTCCATACCTTTTTCGTCGTCGAACGGCATCTAAAAGGAAATTTCTAGTTTCAAACTGATACACGTGTAGTCGATTCATCTCAGGACGGAACGCCCCCAAACTTACGATTCCTTTCGATCTTCGTAAATTTTCTGTGTAATGTTCGGCTCGAAGTACCAAATGTTGTTGTTACCGCCAAATATTTTATGGTTTTTAATTTCCTTTCTAGCCTTTAAAGTTTCTTTGTATTAATCATAGGACGTCCTTTTTTGTGGTTATTTTGCGGATGTGTTTGCCCACGTACGGTTAACGAAACAAAGAAATCTATTATGCTTTGTATTAGGTAATATTTCCTCTAACGTGTTCAAAAAAACGAGTTCTAGTCAACGTGTCATCGTGTTAAGATCAAACTCTTAGGCTCAACTCAACGCATGTGAAATCCCTCACGCGGACACAGAAGTAAGTTTTTTCATTATTGAATGTCTTTTATTGTCTTTGCATTACCAAACGTTTGTTTCCTAAGTTTGTAGTAGTTTTCTAGCTAGCCTAATTGTAGTTTCTACTTCGTTATTTGTTTCTTAGTTTTCGAAACCGTTTCACCGTTTTCACCGTTTCTCAATCGTTTCTCAACAACGCTTCTTTACGACGCTTCTATACATCGCTTCGATATTTGATTCGTTACGCTTCGCATCATCTGTGTACATCGCTTCGCTTCAATAACTGCTGTTTACAATAAACTGTGTCACGAACATTATTCTGGGGAATGTTTGAAACGCGTTTAAAATATCTGTGACAACGAGAGGATACGTGATTCACAAAACCGTCCTGTGAGTAACGTTAAGTTCTGCGCTCACAGTTGTTATCGGTTGACGGTAACAATCGTAAAATAACGAAACAAACAACGAAGTAGCTGAAACCGTTCCAACTTGTATGTTTATTCTCCTCGCGATGACGGTATGCGAATATATACTTACAACACTATCTCGATAATACGACAGAACTAAACAAAAGGCTCGAAATACAAAATCTCGTATTACATGTCAATTGTTAACTCGGGTAACACAACATGCCATGGTCACGCAACTATTAGTGTCTTAACAGTTACACTTTTTGCACAGGTGTTACACTTTTTGCACTTGTGTTACACTTGAACTGCACTGCTCTCAGCCAATCAGAATCGAGTAATTTTTTCATGTATATTATTAAATAGCAAAACCACACGCTGAACAAATTACATGCTCACAATTGATCATTTCTTGAGTTTCTGATCTACGGAAAAATAATTCTCTTTTTTCTTTATGGTCAGTTATTGCAATCAGGAGCTCCGCGTTCAGGCTTGGCTAAATCTATATATTATTAAATGCGATTCGATAGAAATTTTCAAAAATTAACAGTCAACTGATCGGTGAATATAAAACTGCCATGAAAACTACGCACATAACAAATCCGTCTTAAAGTTTTGCCACAGTACTAGCTAAAACGCTAGGCGACACGCTGAAATAAATCATGAGACAGAAATACCTGGTTTAAATTTCTCCAGGGCATCCATCCTTCCCTCCAACGATTCTAGCTTTTTATGTAGCTGACTCAAAGCCGTTTTCACGTCTTTTACGGGGTACAGGTTCACAGCATTGTAATTGCCTTTAACGATCACTTTACCCAAAGTGAAATCAGTGGCGTTTTTCACATTTGACGGACGGACAAAAGCGCTTTCCAGCGACACAAAAATCACGAGGAAAGCGGTGAAACAGAACAAAACTTGAGCACCCATGGCAGAAAGTAGTGTTACCTTCGAAGACCTCTGTCTTTAAAGAGAATAACTTGAAATGTCTCATGGCTAGTTTATAGCTAGATTCCAACGCGTTTTTTCTTGACCACGGAAGCTACAGTCACGCTATGATCATTGCCGTGACTAAAATAACGAGAAGCCTATGTTTGGGTATTTTTACCTATAATATGTTTCTTTTGTTCCGATG